AATGGGTTCAGAAGTTAGATTCGACCCCAGAAGGGGGCATCAACAAGGATCCATGAGTCAGGTAAGAAGGCCACCAACTTTTCGGCCTCCAACTAATGTACCTACAGATACTTGGCTTAACACCATGGGAAGAAAGAGGCCAAATGAAGAGAGATGGCAGGCGTTCGATGTGCCAAGAGGTTCCTCTTTAGATTACAGAAAAGGAGTACCATGCTTCTACGTCAAATAAGATGGCCCATATATCGAGCAATTACAAAGGAAAAAATCTTATGTCCTGTTCACAATGGAGAAGATTCCAAAGACGGCGAAAGGCCGAAAAAGAGACAGTTGGACCTCATCCAGAGGTTAGCACCAATGTGCAAAGGAAACAAAGGAATCCTATGCCATGGACGGAGGAATGTGGGTCGAATGATGAAGACAACTCAGATTCCGATGACAATTTAGACATCATGGTGAATGTCATATCTGTGTTACCTAAAGAATACAACCGTCAGGTCGAAGTTGAAGAAACTGACTTAATGGTTGAACAAGAAATGGCTAGACACATGCCAGTATGTTACTATGTAATGAACAATGGTTGCGTAGAAGAACATAACGCATTTTTCGAGCCACCAACAGAGGCAATGAAGAATCATCTAAAATCCCTTTTCATTAGAGCAAAGATAGGGGAAATAACTATAAATAAAATTCTGGTTGATTGTGGGGCGACCATCAATATCATCCCACAATTCATGCTGGAAAAGCTAGGAAAGGGAGATGCTGACATCAAGCCCCATAACTTGGTCTTGTCCAATTATGAAGGAGGCATTGGCACCACAATGAGTGTCATACAACTAGACCTCAAAGTGGGATCAATCCTCCGACCCACCATGTTCATGGTGATCTCAGCAAAACCAAACTACAATCTGCTCTTGGGTCGAGAGTAGATACATGGCATCGGTGCAGTGCCATCCTCGATGCACCAAAGGGTTACGATATGGCGCCCCGATGGTATCGTGGAAAACATTGAGGCAGATCAGAGTTATTACTTAGGTGAAATCAACAGTGTCGGAAAGAATAGTTTCGACAGAAATTTGGCTCATTTAGGGCCATGTAATCCACCTGAGTTTGATTTAACCCCAACACCTAACGCCTTCTGCTCTCTATACCTACACTCCGACTACGGCTTTCAGTGGGATAGAGAAGACTTATCCAACATTGACTTTGGAGGACTTGATGATATACGGCCAACAGGCTGGGGAAGTGAGTTTGGTGATGATGACTGAGTCACAAACTCTGCAAAAGATTTCGGCGTATGTGGCCGAAAGTAGAATGATAGCGGCCTTGGAGGCTGAAGTTAAATATATGGCCTTCGAAGCCAATGAACAAGTCCTTTCTAAAAAAGGCCCTGGGAAAGATTTCGACCTAGAGCCTCCCGAACGAAAGACCTTCGAGATCAGAGGTTAGACGCCATCTATGATGATGAACCTCTAGGTTTCGAAAAGAACCCGTTGGCGAACAATGTTAGCGCAAGACCCTCTAGAAGAGGTAAACCTAGGCGACGGTCCTATAAAAAAGCCAACGTACATAAGCACAAAAATAGATCCAGGACTCAGGGTCGAAATGATCCAATTACTAAAAGAGTTCAAGGATTGCTTTGCGTGGGATTATGACGAGATGCCTGGTCTCGACATAAGTTTGGTAGAACTGCAGTTGCCAATAAAGCCTGGAAAGAAGCCCGTTAAGCAGACTCCAAGACGGTTTGCACCAGAGATTTTATAAAAAATCAAAACGGAAGTCGAAAAGCTGCTGAGATGCAAGTTCATCCGAACGACCAGGTACGTCGAATGGATTGCAAATATTGTGTTTGTTATAAAGAAAAATGGTACCTTAAGGGTGTGCATCGATTTCAGAGATCTGAATGTTGCAACACCCAAAGATGAATATCCAATGCCGGAAATGCTTGTGGATTCTGCCGCTGGTTTCGAGTACATGAGTATGCTTGATGGCTACTCTGGATTTAAGGACCACAACGTTGGGATGCACTGATCACGAAAATTTTGAAATTTCGTTCATAGACAATCTAACAGAACAAGATTGGAGAAAGCCTATAGTGGATTATTTACAAAATCCAACGGCTTCGACAGAACGAAAAATAAGGTATAGAGTACTGAGTTATGTGTTGACGATCATTTCTGCGACGAAATCGGTCAAAGCTTGTGCCTTTAGGGATTTCCTACTCTCGTACTGAATGTCGAACTAGAGAGTTCCAAGGACCACTTCAACATTCAACCTGCCATGTCTGGTCGACCTAAGAGTTGTTTCACTGGCTGGTCAGTTCGTACTATGATCGTGTGCGCGAGGAAATAGTGTCTGAGTCTCCTCGCCGCGTTGACGAGGACTAGAGCTACTTTCTCTATCTGTTGGTATCTGACCTCGGGCCCTTGCAGCGCTTTGCTCGTGAAATAGACGGGTTTTTATCTGTCGGTCGTCTCGCGAATGAGGGTTGTGCTGACGGCTTCGATCGAGACGACCAGGTACAAGAACAAAGGTTCCCCGTCGACGGGTCGTGATAACACGGGCGGTTGAGATAGACTTTGTTTGAGATGGAGCAACTCCTGCTCACATTCCTCGATTTATTCAAAGGCTGCTTCTTTGCGAAGGATCTTGAAGAAGGGGAGGGCGTGTTGAGCGGATCTCGCAACGAAACAGGATAACGAGGTGAGCATGTTGTTCATGACTTGTATGGATTTTTTCGATGTGAGTGTAGGGAGGTCGGAGAAAGCCCGTGATTTATCGGGGTTGGCTTCGATTCCTCGTTCCGTCAGGTAGAAGCCGAGAAATTTTCCCGCCTTGACCCCGAATGTGCACTTCTCGGGGTTAAATCTCATCTTGCATTGCCTTGCTTGAGCAAAGACTTCTTTGAGGTGAGCGGCATGACCGGTGTCTGCTCGGGATTTAACGATCATGTCATCCATTTACACCTTGAGCATGTCTCCGATTTGGTTGTAGAATACTTTGTTCATCATCCGTTGATATGTTGCTCCTGCGTTTTTTAGACCAAAGGGCATTACATTGTAGTAATAGTTGCCCGAGCTGGTCATGAAAGCAGTGCAATGCTTGTCGCTTACGGCAATTGGGATTTGGTTATACCCTGAATAGGCATCCATAAACGACAGTATTTTATAACCGGCCGAGTTGTCGACCAGCATATCTATGTTGGGTAAAGGAAATGCATCTTTCGGGCATGCCCGATTGAGATCAGTATAATCAACACACATTCGCCACTTTCCATTATTTTTCTTGACAATTACAACATTTGACAGCCAGGTTGAATACCGGACTTCGGAAATAAAATTTGTCTCTAGGAGGTCTTTTACAGCTTTTTCAGCAGCCTCTGTTTTCTTCGGAGACTGCCTACGTCTACGTTGTACTACTGCCCTAGCGGCTGGATCTATGGCGAGACGGTGACAAGCGATCTCGGGGTCGAGTCCGGACATCTCTGCGGCACTCCACGCGAATAGGTCCACATTCTCGCGCAAGAATGCTTTGATTTGCTTTCTTGCCAAGTCGGGGAGGTCGGTGCCGATCTTCACTCCTTTGCTTATGTCCTCGCCAAGAGGGGCGAGTTCGAAGTCCCCGTCCGGAATTGGTCGGAGGGGGACTTGTTCGCCCCTAGGAGATTCATCCTGGTCGAAGCGGGTGTCCAAGGATATTAAGTCAACCTCTGGAGGGGCTCTCTAATCTTCTACTTTGATGGGCTCTGTCCTCTGGGGTTCTGGTCGTGTCGTTGCAGCTCTTTTGACGGGCCTTGTACTGGTGTCGACCGTATCGCGTCCCTTGGATGCCGCATTAAAACACTTTCGGGCAACTGCCAGGTCCCCTTGGATGGTGGCGACCCGTGCCCTCTTGGTGTAAAACTTCATCTTCAGGTGGACGGTAAAGGGTATTGCGGTCAGCTCCGCCAGTGTCGTCTTTCCCAGAATGCAGTTGTAGAGGGAAGGGCAATCAATGACGAGGAAATGCACTTTGACCTGCCTCGTTGCTGTATCCTCGCCGAACGTGACCATGAGCTCGACGTATCCCCAAGATTTGGAAGTCGAGCCGTTAAAGCCCTGCAGGTCTGACCCCACGTAAGGTGAAAGGTGTGGGTCGTCGAACTGCAGGGTTCGAAATAATTGGTTGTACATTACGTCGACGAAACTCCCTGGACATCATAGACCACAAGAAACATTGAAATGGCCTACAAAGAAGCAGAAATGAAAATCACGAGTTACGAAGGAATAAGATCTAAACAAATTAAGAATGGCATGATATTGTTATTTACATATACAAGTTTTGGACACCTTGTACAAACTCATCATTCTTAAATAGCTTCAGATAAGTTTTTGCCTCCCTTCCCTATCTTTCATTTTCTTTGTTTGTAAATTGAAATAAGGATATTATAAGTTGATGTTAAAAAAAATTAATAGTTAAAGATTATATAACATCATCTTTTGGAGAAAAAAATATAAAATTTATTTACCATTATTCTTCTTGGAAGAGATACTCTCCAGGACCAAATCTAGTCTTTGGGAGAACCAAATTGTTGCGGCCGAACATTTCCAAAGTGGCCATAAATAGGTTGAAGAAACTCTCTAATTCTACTCAATCTCTACTCCACAAAATTGCAGGCTAAAAAGCCTCACACTCACAGTACCACAGTAAGAGAAAGAAAAAGGAAGTCATTATATATAAGGGAAAGAAAAAGAAAAGCTGAGTTGTTGTAATTAACCATCACAATACAGAAAAGGACTTGCAGGCAAGAAAGAACACCAAGTTGAACAACCCCGTGAGGAAGTAAATGAATAACTGCTACTGTCTGCAAAAACAATACAATACGGTACTTACGAAACCGCAATGAAAAAGCCTAGAATGCAGCACGTCCAATTATACTGAATAACGTCCAATTCTTGACACATTTCATGTATACATAGGACATAACAAACCCCATAAAACCATTTCATGTCTAAAGTCATTTCATGTATCCACAGAAAAAACATACTTCCATTTCGGCACAGAAAAAACCCCATGAAACCATTTCATGTCAATACAGCACAGAAAAGAAGGAATCCATTTCAAAAGCAGTCCATGGAAAAGAAGAATGTCAAACCCGATATAATGAAAAAATGCAGAAGATGAGCAAATCCACGAAACAAATAAGGAAGTTAAAGATGAAACCCAGTATAATTGAAAAAACAGAAAAGCAAAACCTAACAAAATTCAAAGATGTTATTGTTACTTGCAAGTTTTTTCACTTGAAAAATATATTCAAAGGGAATAAAACTTACTGCAGAAATGCAAAAACTGGAGGATCTCCCAACAACCAACTCCAAGACATGCCCAAACTAATGGGATTAATGAGCTCGAAGTAAACACCAAAAACCAAAATGTTCAAAATAAACATAACACGCAAATCATACCATTTTTGCGGTCACAGTTCTTAGTCGAATCAACTTCTTTCCTGATTAAGAGAACAACTTATTATCATTTTTTAATCTATAAAAGCAAAAATAATAACATTAACATCAAAAACTGCATACTGCACCAAAGATCCGTTCAGTTTCGGCCGACGCGAGAGAGTAAAATATAGAAGAAAAAAAATATACTTACTGCAAACTTTAAACAGGAGATCCGTTCAGTTCAGGCCGCCGCGAGAATCATCCACGAAAGCGTAACACAAAAGCCAATAACATCAAGATTAAAACAGTAGTCACAGGGTGACACAATGGAAAGAAAGGAAACGAAACTAACCGGAAGAAGGGGAAACGGACTCAGAAACTTCGTCGGACGCCGCGCTAGCATCAGCGTCACCCATCGACGAACACACAACTCAACCGACCGACACCCACAGCTTCGCGGATGAAACCGCACCACAAACTGAAGAAGAAGAAGTGTAAACCAGAGTAAGAATACAAACTTTATCATGTCAGGATGCAAAAATAAAATAAAAAAATAAAAAAAAACCGAAGAAGATGAACATGAATCAGTACCTGAGTGTTGTATTAAGAAAGAGGAGAGAATGCAGCTCAACCAGCTGTGGGATTTTGTTAGGAAGCGAAAATGTGAGGAGGAAGAAGGAAGATGAATGGTCTTCAAAGATGAGTTGCAGAAATGATGGATCCTAAACTGTGTTGTGTAGTTCAAGTTTGAGAAATTGTAATAATGTCCGCCACTTGGCAAAAGCAATGTTATTGATTGGTCAAGAATTATTGAATTACTCATTTATATTTTAAAATAAATATCTTTTTGAAATATCAATACAATATTAAAAATATATTTTATTATTATACATTTTTTCAACTACTTTATTAATTTTAATAAATAAAACTATTTTAATTTATTTTTAAAAAATTTAGATAAAATTTAAATAAGACACTTATTATAGAATAGAGGAAAATAATAAATTATAATTAAAGATTTTTTGCAGTGCAAATATAATTTTAAGGAAAAAGTAGAATTTGAAGTGTCTAATTAAAAAGTATTATTTTGTCATGAAAAAACAATTTGAAAATAAATTGTATGAAAAGTAGAAACCGTTTCACACACGATCTGGCTCGGATATTGTGGCGAAGGAAGAAAATAGTGGATTCTCCGTAATCACTTACATATTCATATCTGTGGGTAACATTGTTTCTCTTTTCAAAACGCCTTTCTTTTCTCAATTTTCTGCATTCATTCTACTCTCCACGTGCATTTTCTTCCCTCTAACGAAACCCTCGTTTTCTTCTCCCTTGTTACTTTCAAGTTTCAATCCAAAAAATCAAAATCACCATCAATTTTCTCTCTGTTACGCGCGTGAGAGAGAATAATGAACTCCGATTCAATCCTCTGAGTTGAACCGGAGAAAGATCTGAGTCTGAGTCTGAGTCCGTGTGACCGATTTAACGCGCGCTTATGGGTGGTTCTGGTTCCAAACTTGAGAAGGCTCTCGGTGACAATTTCCCTGAAGGAGAACATTATTTTGGCCTTGAGAATTTCGGCAATACTTGTTATTGCAACAGCGTTTTGCAGGTTTTCGTCAATCTTATTTCTGTTTCTTCCAGATTCAGATTTTGATCTGCTTATTAAAGAAATTCATCACTTAATTGTTACAATTTCTCGTCTTTATCGTTGATTTGATTACTTCTCTGAATGTGAACGCGTTAGGATAGGAACTCGTTATTTTTGTTTTGCTGAATTTTGAAATGCTGTATTAAACAATGAAGGAAATTAAGAGAAACTTTATGTTGCATTTGAGACTTTAAGTAATTTTATTTCATTGACTGAAAAAATGGTTTGCATATTTTTATTGATTAGGGTATTGAATCAAATGTGGTTACTTTTTGTTTTGCCCTGTTTATGAGGTCTGGTCAATTAGTAGCAAAGTTAGGGTTTAATTCTCACTATTGGAAAGGATACTAGAATCTATGTTTTTAGCTATTGTCTATTCGAAATATGTAGAGAATGATCACTGGATCTGTCAAACTTGCTTTGTGGAGTACTTTCAAGTTTCAACCCTAAACAACTGTGTTTTGATGCCAGAAATCTTTTGATTATGTTAGTTTGTAAACCTTGTAATTAAATTTGTGGTTATTTTATTTTCCTAACACTATTCTTTCTTGTTCTATAGGCTCTATACTTCTGTGTTCCATTTCGAGAACAATTGCTACAGTATTATGGAAAAAACAAAAATATGCCAGATGCAGAGGAAAATCTTTTGACTTGCTTAGCTGACTTATTTTCGCAGGTAACCAATCTACAATTAGAAAAATTCTTGATGTTTCTTGAATAAGACCTATTCGTATTTGATTGACTAAATTGTTATTTATCATTATAGAATTTTATTTATAACATGGTGTTGATGCTATTTCACCAAATTAGTAACTTATCAACAACAATTTTTATCCTAGATACCATGTTACAAAAACTACAAGAATGCCTGAAAATTTATCTAGTCCTTACGACCATCCAAAAATAACATATGGTCATTTGTAAATTGTAGCTAAGAACATACGTTTCTTTATATCCATTTCTCTAGACTATCTCCATACCATTGTGTATAGTTCTGATTTAGACACCCGTGTAGTAGTGTAAAATGTCACACTGTAACTTGCCAAACTCCCGTTGATTCTATATGTTTCTGTTGATGCCTTTTCTCTTCGATCCAAATTGTAACCAGGAAATTTTGTATGCTACTATTTGTGTTGTTTATTAAAACAGGACTAGATACTGTAGGGCATAGAATATGTTCCCTTCAAGGTAGTCAGACTCGAGATCCTACGCAAGATCGGGTTGGGGTAATAAGATCGTAAATCGGGGGATCGTAACACGAATAGTAAGATCTTACCAATTTTTGAAAATTCATATATTCATATGACAGACACAACATAATATAAAAAAAATCAAATAACACTAAAATTACTTTAAAAAATCTGAAATTTTATAGGATAATATTCATTGAAATTAGCTCAAGACAATTCAAAACAACACAACATTCAAAACAGTAGCAAATAACAATTAAAAACTTCTATAAAAAACTTAATGAAAATTCCCTCAATTTCCAAATAGTAGAACTTGAAGCCATTGGGGAAGGTTGAAAAATAGAGAAGGAAAGTTTATTTTTATCCTGAGAGAAAAGATATAGAATGAAATATTGAGTGAGATATTGGCTGTATTTAACGTGAGAGATGTTTACCCTGAGAGAATTGGAGTAAATAAATGTATTTTGGGAAGTTACACTAATCAGGGTGTATTTTGGAAAGTTGAATAAATCCTTGATTATTGGTTTAACGCTAGAGAATTGGAGTGAATATATTTTGGGAAGTTGAATAAATCCTTGATTATTGGCTGGGTGGGCATTTATTATTAGTTATTAGGAAGAAACAGTTTTGCAGTCTAGGAGAATAGAATCGTTTTTCAGATTTTAATAAAAAATAAATGTTTTTTTAGAGTTCTCTGAACTGGATCGCAAACCCAACCCGCGAACCCGAATTTACGGGGCTTTAAACAGAAACACATTTTTAAACAAAAACGGCGATTCTACCGTATTCACGTGAAATCGCGATGATTCTGACCGTGCCTACCAAAAACCGATTCTGTCTATTATCTGACACGATGGGGAGTTGCAACATTGTAAAATCGTACGATCCTGCGAGTAGGATCGCGATTTTGACTACCACGGTTCCCTTAGTTAGCATTTAAGTTACTTTTTGTTAGCTGTTGTGTTTTGTTCTTTTTGTTTCCCTCGAATGAGGGATTTGCAGACACTGCTGATTGCTGCATCCTTGTCTAAATCATGCACTTGAGTGAATATTTTTTATTATTTGTCTTTGAAAAATTGCTTCGAAGCATATGCATTGTGCTTTTTACAAATACCTATTTTTATTGCTTTTTTCTTCTGTGATTATCCTTTGAGATATAAAAATTTGGCAGAGGTGATTATATTCTTGCCTAAATCTGATTGTTGTGTGTTTGAGTATCTATATTTTGTATATCCAATGTTATCTTGCTTCAGATGTCCAGTTAATGCACTCACCTGCTTGTTAATTACTTTCATGGTTTTGAATTTATCATGTTGCTTCTTTTGAATATAGATAAGTTCCCAGAAGAGGAAAACAGGTGTAATTGCTCCCAAACGATTTGTACAGAGGTTGAAAAAACAGAACGAACTCTTCCGTAGCTATATGCACCAGGTACATGTTTAAACTGACTAGAATGAGGACAGAAGTAAATGGCGTGGTTGTTCTATAAATTATCAACTTTTCCTTTGAGAGTATTGAACAGAATATTAGATTGCTCACGTGTAGAGTGTTTGGCTATGTTTATACATGCATGCATAATTTCTGAATATCCCCGCCTAGTTGTTTCTCAGTTGCAATTGGTTTTAATATGAGATTTTCACCTCATATGGCTCCTCGCTCAATTCTTTTGACGTAATTAGATCATTTGCTCGTTCGATAACTTCCACTTCTTCCCCACAAATAACGAGAACTAATTAAGTCAGTCACACTTTCATGTTTCAATTGAACACTTTCCTTTTTTTATTCTCAAAGGAGAAAATTATTCTTTTTTACTTTTACCAAACATATGTGGATCCAATTATGATCTTATAATCAGAAGAATAAATCTTTCTCGATTAATCCTTTTACATCTGATTCTTCGAGAATCAGAAAGATGCTGTTCAATCAAGTTTGAATTTGTTCGTTTTGGAATCTTTTAATTCATTTTTTTACTTATTTCTTTTTTTTTTCTCCATTATTCCTTCATTTCATCCCGTAAGATCTTACCCATTTTCTTATTCATCGATAGGTAATGTACGGAATGAATAAAGATACATGCATCTTTTTTGAATATCCCCGCATAGTTGTTTCTCCGTTGCAATTGGTTTTAATATAAAACTTAGCTAGAGATGCTTGCATAGTCATAATTTTTCAAATGCTATTTCATCCTGTAAGATCTTACCCATTTTCTTATTCGTCAATAGGTAATGTACGGAATGAATAAATATACATGCATCTTTTCTGAATACCCCCGCTTAGTTGTTTCTCCAATGCATTTGGTTTTAATATAAAACTTAACTAGAGATGCTTGCATAGTCCTAATTTTTCAAATGGTATATCATTGGTCTAGTCCAAGAAACTGTTGTTGTATCACTATCACACTTACACCCGAAAGCAAAATGGTTTTGAGCACGTAGTTAAACTTGATATCCTGGTTAGGATGATGGTCCGCCAGTTGGGCGGTCAATATATGAAGGTTGCAATCTATTCCCTAATCCCTTGAGCTCAACATATTTTAGTGCAACGAAATCCTTTATTACTATGTTTAATAAGATGAGAAGTTATTGACTTGATCATCGTGTATTGATCCTCTATATGAACGTCTCTACCTGAAATGGAACATCGGAAAGTGATTTTTATTGACTTTCACAAAATGCAATATTTTAAAATCTATGTTTCCTTGATGCATTCGGTGAGGTTGAATAATATAATTTTTTTAGATCAAACAATGTTGTTCTATATCTCTATTTGTTTACTAAATGTCTTTCCTCACCTGAGTTATTTCACGAGTGAATGTTATTCCTTATTATTCAAATGTTCTGTTTGTTGTATGCTGTCTCTTATTAATGTATTTCTTTAAAAAATAATCTGTATAAAGATTAAAAAGCAACTCTGTCATTACGAATCTTCTCATTTTTGGTAGGACGCCCACGAATTCTTAAACTATTTGTTAAATGAACTTGTTGACATTCTTGAAAAAGAGGCCCAGACTGCAAAGGACAATCAAGAGACATTACTACCTTCTGAGAAGATTGCGAATGGACTAAAGAATGGTTTAGCTAATGGTGCTAAAAAAGAGCCGCCTTTAGCTACTTGGGTGCACAAAAATTTCCAGGTGATTTGGCAATTCAATGTTTGTATTTTAGCTTGTTGCTTGCAGCAAAGCTTGGAGTAACCATACATTATGAACTTGTCATTTGGTCAATTAGTGTAGGAGGCTACTACACTCCTTAATGATGACAAAAATAATGATTTTAAATTACATTATGGAATCTCACTGTTGTAAATTGCTTTGATCAGGGAATACTTACCAATGAGACAAGGTGCTTGCAATGCGAAACAGTAACTGCTAGGGATGAAACATTTTTCGACTTGAGTCTTGATATTGAACAAAACAGTTCCATTACAAGTTGTTTGAAAAATTTCAGTTCAACCGAGACATTGAATGCTGAAGACAAATTTTTTTGTGACAAATGCTGCAGGTATTTAGCACTTAGTCTTGGCCACAAATTTTTATTTTATAATTACCTAAACATTATTTTTGCGGCATCAGCTGCATGTACTTCATTAGTACTATTTTTGGATGATAAAGGGCCATTTATGCTTTTTTAAATTGTTTTTGTAACTGACCTATTTTACTACTTTTATTAAGATGGTTTTTTTTATGATGAGACAGATGTCGAGTGGCTTCACTATTATGTATTGATTGTTGCAATTTGTCATGTCATAAGCAAGAACCTTAATAGGTTTACATTCCATTGATTGACATTTTTTCCATCTATTTCCAGAAAGGGTTAAGATGGCCGTGTGACTCGTGTCAATTTAATCTGTAATAAAATGCATGTACTCAGCTATTTTACTTTTCATGTTCTGTTAATAACCAAGATGCAAACTTTCTTTTGATTAGTTTGCAAGAAGCTCAGAAGAGGATGAAGATAAAGAGACCGCCTCGTATTTTAGTCATTCATCTTAAGCGGTTTAAGTACATGGAACAACTGGGCCGCTACAAGAAACTGTCTTACCGTGTGGTTTTTCCCCTTGAGCTCAGGTTGAGTGATACAGATGAAGAAGCAGATATTGAGTATTCTCTATTTGCAGTAGTTGTCCATGTTGGGAGTGGGCCCAACCACGGGCATTATGTTTGCCTTGTAAAAAACCATAACCACTGGTTATGTTTTGACGATGAAACTGTTGAGGCAGTTGATGAAGCTTCTGTTCAGACATTCTTTGGGTCAACTCAAGAATTCAACAATAATACTGACCATGGTTATATTTTGTTCTATGAGAGCGTTAACAGAAACTAGACAGTAGAGCCTTACCAGTTTTAGGTTCTTGAATATTTTGGACTTTTCTCGTTCATCTGTTTGGTTATTTTCTTTTTACCATTTTCCTTAATCAAACTGCTTGAAGTGTGATACCTTCAGGACAGCATACAGTTGTGAAAATGTATACTAGGTGCCAGGTGTTTGGCATGTACAGCTGATAGTGAAAGCACTGATTTTTTTAAAAAACTTTTTCGCATAATACACCAGAATGCATTCATGGTTAAGTCTTAACTGTTCAATTAGTTAGAAACACAATGCAATGGTAGTTACTTTTAAGCACATTTTTGCACTCCCAGAAGATCCTTATATAAAAGGGACATGAATTATATTCTACATTTTGTTTTACAAGATGTAGAATAAACAAAAAGCATTCACAAAGTGATTAATGTATTGAGTCATGGAGCATTGTTTTGAAACCCAAATAGATTTATATTCTTTTGCGTGTATATTCTAAGGTGACTGAACTAGTAGGATTCAGTGGCTGCTTATGTTGAAGTTATTCAAAACTAGTTAAAGAATGAATCTGTCCATCTGGAGTAAAATCGAATTATAACTGGGAAGTCCATAGAATTGAAGTATTGTACAAAAGGAGAAGCTAATTATTATTCAGTTTGTAATGATGGCCTGGTTAACTTGAAACTCTGGGGTCAAAATTAGACCACCATCTTTTATGTGAGATATGGATATCTATTCTTCTATAACTATATATGAAGGGGATATGGGTGTTTGGGCTGGCCTTTTTTTATTCCAATATTATCCTTCCATTGTTGTCAATTTTTTCAAACTTTTATTCTCTAATTTATTTTTAAAATAATAAATGGTTAAAGGGAAGTTGAGTTACATTATAAAAAATCATAACACAATAACCGCAGGTAAAAACTGCTCAAAGTAATTTTACCCATTCTTATAAATAAACTGCTTCATTTTGTACAACTACCAACACACAACTTTCATTATATAACAAATAGGGTAACATAGGGAAATATTTTTGAAATTTGTGCGTATGCATCTGTTTGCCTCTGTCTCATATAAATACATATGAAATTATAAACAGACAACATAACTTTTATATGTTTGCCTGTCTCTTCTATTTTTCTTTTATCTAAACTTCGTCTATTTGTCAATCAACATAATTTTTTTCGGTTGATCTTTTTCCATTCTATCAATTTTTTTATTAATTCAACTTTGGTGCTGATAAATAAATTTCTGTCATCGCTAATTTTTTTCCAATTTCTTTTTTATGTCTAATTATTAGTAAATTTAATGTAGTTTACATTTACATATAGTTGTTGTTCATTCGTGCAGTTTATATTTACAAAATTGACTGACTCAACATTGAAAAAGAGAGAATAAATAAGATAAGCAATGATCATAACACATACTTAGCTTGGAAAGATGAAAGAAAAGTTGAAAAGTAAAAGAAGTGGATGTGTTGCTGAAATTTATAGTTAAGATGATTGAATAGGGGCAGCTGTTGCACTCTAAAATTTAACCTCTAGGTTCAGGCTTATGTTTCATCACAAACATCATACTACATTGTATTCATTCTCTTATGATGGGGATCAAGGTACTTTGATTCTCTAGTTGACTGTAAGTTGTGCTGGTTGATGGAGTTGACAATTAATGGAGAAGGAAGCTCTTTCTCTCAAGCTTTGAATTTCTCAAGTCATAAGGGTCTCTCATGTCCCAGGACATTTCATCCATCTCATTGGATCATCAAGAAGATTTTTGTTGAATCACACTCTCCTAATTCATTAAGTCAACATTAGAGTTTTGTCCAAATTGAAGAATGAGGACTCAGATGAGTCAAGTTTTGAGGCATCATTTTTTCATCATCATTTGAATCAACTTTGCTCAGGAATTCTCTCAAGATGTCTAGTGGAATTAAGGTTTAAGTTTGATCAGCTATCTCCTAACACAAGATGCAAAATTAGGATTTTGGATTTAATCAAGATTTCTCTGACCTTTTTACCCAAATTTGTTGCCAGCTTCACTATATGTTATTAAACATCTTTGATTGAAATATTGAGGTTCAAGTTGGATTGGAAATGACTCAATTGGTCAAAAGGGACAAAATGGTCAGTTTGACCAAAAGTCAACAAAATCAGGAGTTTACCAAGTGGACTTTTGGTCAACTCTCAATTTAAACATCCTCTCTTCACATTCCATATCCAAATTCATCATTGAATCATGAGAAATAGTGAAATTGAGTTTAACTTGTTCAAGAAGTTACTTGAAAATTGAAAAAACATTCTAAGTGTCAAGTTGACTTCTCATTGGCAAGTCACGCGCGTAATTTTGACAAACAGTTGGTGGGCAATTTTGGGGACTTCACATCTTTTGATTCAAATGATATTTTGAAAATTGGCTTCGAGCATTCTGAAGTATGCCATGAGAGCTTCTCATTAAGCCTTGACTCATTCAAATTGGCCATTTATTGAATGAGATATGATCATTAGATGTGGAGGTTTTAAATTGTACCCATGCAGTGCCCATGCGCGCACGCGTTCTTGCCTGGCCAAACTTTATTTTGGCTAAACATTGAACAACCACATCTCACTCATTTCAACTCCATTTTCAATGATCCCAAGCACATTATATTTTCTATCACAAGAACTTAAATCTTTCTTCAAAGTAAAAAATGCAAACCAATCTTAATTATTTGTGCGCCTTTTGGCTTTGTTTTAAACCTTGTCAAATTGATGTTTGGACATCCTTGCCATGATATTTTGTTATCTTTTCGCCGATGTTTCTCCATCGTGTATGTTTGTTATCCTACTTTGATTCTCAATATCATTGTTAGGTGTGATATTTTATCATCTAAATGGTTGATGTCTCGCCATCTCTGTCATATTATCTCGCCATATTTTAGCCGATGTTTTGCCATCGCATATGTTTGTTGTTGATGTTTCACCATAGCGTATGTTTGTTATCCTACCTTGATTCTTAATATCATTGTTAGGTGTGATGTTTTATCATCTGGATTGTTGATGTCTCGTCATCTTTGTCATGCTATCTTACTATCTTTTTTCCTATGTTTCGCCATCGCATATGTTTGTTGCCGATGTTTCACCATCACGTATGTCTGTCATCCTACTTTGATTTTCGATATCATTGTTAGGTGTAATATTTTGTCGTCTTGTCTGATATTTTGTTATCATGCTGACGTCTTATCATATTATCTGAGTTTGTACTGTCATGTGATGTTTTGTCATTCCCTTTTGTTGTTTTATCATCGTCGTTGATGTTTTGTCATTTTATTTGATGTTTTGCCATCTTGACTGTTGCTTTTGTCTTTTTATCAAAAAAATACAAACCAACCAAAATATATGAGACGAACTACGGCTGCTTTGATTCCTTAAAAGGGATACATAGGCATTGGGGTAGGGCCTGAACGAGCATAAATTTTATTTTTCCTACATTCTTCTCTCCATTATTTTGTATGCATTCCCTGTACAACCTAGATATAGATCCTAATACACCCTTAGATTAGAACAAACAAGAGTAGATATCATAGAGTACTACGGGCGTGTGGGGTGCTAATACATTCCCCTCGCGTAACATATGTTAGAACAAGATTGGTTCTAATCATATCTCAGAGTTTTGATGATAACAATAAAATATATTTTATATAATTGATACTCTGATGAGCATATTTATTTGTTTCAGATAATATTATGACTGAAGTATTTTCCTAGATGAAAATCATTTTGACGTGCTGAGCTGAAAATAAATGAAGAAGTTCTTTGGTGAAAGAACTATTTGTTTTAGCGCAAGTTCTGATGCTGACTCTGATAAGAAACAATTTAATGCATCTTCTAAAGCTTAGCAAGTTTCCATGTAAATTATGTTCTGAAGTATTCTACAAAGCAAGTGCTGATCAAAAGTACTTTGCAAGCAAGCACTGATAAGAAGATTTGCAAGCATATTCTGAAGCAAGACGTGAAGCTAGTTCTGAAAGAATAAAGAAGCTAACAAGTCTTGTCAAGGTTCAGGAAACATGCTCTGACAAAGTGTCGTTTGCTCATTTAATGCAAAGACGGCTACATGCACTCAAGTGTCTACGCTAGTTCATTGGAAAATGCAATACTGCAAGCAAACACGCAAACATTAATTGCTCTCCACTTTTGAAGGCAGCAACAGTCATTTTCTTTATGCTATAAATAGAAGATCATTTATTGCAAGCCAACAATTTAACAAATTCAAAAGACCCAACAACATGAAAATATTCTGCTGGTCACAAATCATTTTACAAACACTTTGTGAAAAACTAATCTTAGTGAAAAATAACAGTTTGTGATATAGCTTTCTAAGAAGCAATTTATTTCACTATCTGTAAAGATTTAATTCTTGTATTTGTTCCTTGAGAGACCAAGTTTCGTCATATTTCTCAAGAAGACTAGGACTAGTTTAAGTCTTAGTGGTGTTAGTCACTTGTAAGTTTACTTGTGTTGTATTGTTAGTCACAATAGTTTAGTTGTGTGATTGTAATCAGTTTGATTATAGTGAATTAAGTCCTTGTTGAGAAAGACGAAATCACCTTGGCGGGTGGACTGGAGTAGTTTGAGTTCAAACGAACCAGGATAAAAATAACTGTGTCTTTCCATTATTGTTGAGCCTTTAAGAAAAAAAGAAGAGAAACTTATTCAACCCCCCCCCCCCCCCCTTCTAAGTGTTTTCTCACCCTTCAATTGGTATCAGAGTTTGACTCTGAGCGCAACACTTAACCGTGTCAGGAAAAGATCCAGAAAGAAAACACAAATGGCAACTGAACAAAATAACAATAGCTACAACAAACCTCCTGTATTTGATGGAGAAGATTTTGAATATTGGAAAGATAGACTAGAAAGTTTCTTTCTAGGTCATGATAGTGATTTATGGGATATAGTCTTGGATGGTTACACACATTCTATAGACTCAGAAGGAAACAAGATTGATAGAAAGATTATGGATAGACAACAAAAATCTGATTTCAAAAA